ATATATATATATATATATATATATATATATATATTAAGATGAAAATGTTCTAGAGTGTGTATTATTTAATTTCCATACCCAGCGTCTGCCGCGGCAGGGTCTCGAACCCGCGACCTTCGAATTACTAGATCGACGCTCTACCTACTGAACTAGTATTGTTCGATGCTGAATTAATATAAACGAGTATGTTTATGACATTCAGTATATATTTCATAATTTCCAGTCTTAAATCCGTCTGACCGTGTAGCTCAGCAGGTAGAGCGTCGATCTAGTAATTCGAAGGTCGCGGGTTCGAGACCCAGCCGCGGCAGACAATATCTGTCTGCTTGCGCTGGGTATGGAAATTATATAATACACACTCTAGAACATTTTCATCTTAATATATATATATATATATATATATATATATATATATATATATATATATATATATATATATATATATATATTTGGTTCGTTGGTTATAAAAACTTTTGGTAAAGTGCTCAATGGAAAACCAGAGCATATTTAAATTAAGGTACAACAATCAACAAAATCCACTAGGCATCTTTATTACTAAATAGTTTCGTACCACATTTTGTGGTACGAAACTATTTAGTAATAAAGATGCCTAGTGGATTTTGTTGATTGTTGTACCTTAATTTATAGAGAGAGAGAGAGAGAGAGAGAGAGAGAGAGAGAGAGAGAGAGAGAGAGAGAGAGAGAGAGAGAGAGAGAGAGAGAGAGAGAGAGAGAGAGAGAGAGAGAGAGAGAGAGAGAGAGAGAGAGAGAGAGAGAGAGAGAGAGAGAGAGAGAGAGAGAGAGAGGGGTAAAACGTAATAAATAATTAGATGGGTATCTACAGAATTGTGAACGTCGCAAGAGGTTGAATATAATTGATGAGCCCTGTTGCATTTTATCGCTTTCTAAATCAGCAAAACGTGGCAATATCTAAAAGCCCCGAGCCCCATAACTCGTATTCCTCCACTAGGTATATTATTCTCATTTTTTCCAAAGGTCAACTACATCGGCCATGGTAAATTATGTGTTTATTGGTAACTAGTAAAGGCACGAATATTTTAATTAGAGATTGAGGTTAAGCAAGCGACCTTTTTGATTCACGAACGCCGACCGGAAGTAAATCGAGCCGTTATAGATGGCGACATTCATTCTTGTTTGAAATTACGAACGCGAAATTGCCGTTCATGATATCAACCGTTAATTACTAACGCCATAATTAACGAATAAGTTGCTTGCTTTAAAAAGTTGACCGAGCCGTTATAGATGTCAACAGCTCTTTTTGTTTGAAATCATGAACGTGGTACTGCATTGACTGCCATTCGTGATTTCAAGCAAGAACTGTCGTCATCAACTGAGATACCTACGCTTGTGACGTCATAAACTTACATATTATACAAAATGAAGGCAGATACAGAAAATATGCAAAATTTTTAATAAAGTTAAGAATGTTCTTTCCATTCAATCATTATTTCCGATGTTAGTCAACACATGTCCAGGGGAAGTTGAATTAATAAGAATAATAATGAACGGTTTATACACATGCCAAATAGAGTTTTTGTATAACATGGGCGACGAAGTCTTGTTTCAAATTATTAACAAGGGATTTATACATTTTGTTTTTAAAGGTGTGGATGAATGTTGCCTTGGTGGTTACTGTCACATGTATGCCACGTGCACAAACACGGCTGGAGGATATGAATGTCAGTGTATGACTGGATTCACAGGAAATGATACATATTGTGCAGGTTGGTAGTTGATATGAGGTTGACCATAATCTCGTTTGGGGATATTTACTTGTTTTCCACCAATATCAATATCATATCCAAGGCACGTATTATAAATGCCCGAATACAGTAGTAATACTAGATTGGATATTCTAATATGCAGTGACATTTTAAATTTCTTCCTTAAGTTATAATAACAATTATAATATAGCAATTCTGAACGTTGATTGGCTAAGAGCCGTGTTGATATAACTCAATGTCAACACGAAACGTCGGAAAATTTCTTTCTTTATATTTCTTTGTGCTATGTTATAAAACTAATATAAAACATCTTTTCCGTATTGATATATAGTTATATCAACACTCGTGGAAATTGAGAAAACTCGAAATTGTGTGAAAACACTGCGCCCTTCGGGCGTCGTGTTTCCACACAATTCCTAGTTTTCCCATTTCCACTCATATTGATAATAACTGTATATCAACACGGAAAATGTTTTATATTTGTTACTCGCTGGGGCACCTGTGCCCGAGCGAGTATAGGTTTCGGCTCACGTTTGTGGCATGGTGGATCTCCAATCGTCTATAGCCACAAAATAGAATATTAATGAGCTGCCTAATAAACCCAATTTATCCTTTTCAAAATGGCGGCCTTTCGTGGAGTGGGCAAAATGTTTAAAAAATTTCGTTAAAATTTTCAACGAATTGTACCTGTTTTCTATAAATTTTGCATTGTGTCTAACTCTGGACATTCTTGCTAGTTTAGTTAATGCATTTTCTTGGTGCACGACTCTGAAAATCCGAAATTTGGATCTTTGAATTCCCGTGCAGATAATATAAGATACTGAATCCGAATATTAACGAGCCAAAGAAAATTTCAACGTAAAAGGTTATAACTTAAACTACACAACGTAGTTTTAATAGATAACTACTTTATAAGAAGCATATGGGTGTCATATCAATTGACAATATAAAATTTATGCAACCACAGTCCATAATAGTTAGCTGTAGAAACGTGAAAACTGCATAGTGTGAAATATCGTATTTGTAATGCCTAATGTAATGTAATGATAAAAATACCATCGTTAGATTCAGGCTCATTCAGCGTAAGAAATTGTACTTACGGATGTCAAATGTATTACTAAACAAGAGTATTCTAGCGATTGATGGCCTTTGAAAATCAAGCGAAATTGTATTGTTGACAAAGCGCTCGCAGTACGTATTGTTGACAAACCACAGCAGTATTACCAATACGTTTATCCTTGTATTTGTAACGCCTAAATCCCAATGGCGCAATAAATAAGGTTGAAAGACCAACGTACAGGGCATTTTTAAGAATTCGTCAGTGGAGGGGGGGGGATGGCGTCTACAAAAAGGGACCATTATATACCGAGTGTGGAGAAATAATAGATGGTTTGTTGGTAACAAAACACTTGGTGTGGTATCGCATTTAATAGTGGGGGAGTGGGCGTCTGGAGGTATTCTCCCCCAGAAATTTTTTGTATTTTTTTACCCCATTACTGCAATTCCCTCCATTTTCTGAAACATATCTTTGGATATACAGCATTACATTATGCTGTAGATAGACAGAGCCTTCGGTTATGTACTTGCATAGTATGTTTATGTAGATACCACAACTTGGTCACTCAGGGAACCAGCTTGATAAACTTAGAGGTCCATGAAAATGTTCTATAGTGTATATTATATAATTTCCATACCCAGCGCAAGCAGAAAGATGTTGTCTGCCGCGGCTGGGTCTTGAACCCGCGACCTTCGAATTACTAGATCGACGCTCTACCTACTGAGCTACACGGTCAGACGGATTTAAGACTGGAAATTATGAAATATATACTGAATGTCATAAACATACTCGTTTATATTAATTCAGCATCGAACAATACTAGTTCTGCAAGTGTTATGTTAATTGTGTAATTGTATACTCTGTAATATGTTAAGATGAAAATGTTCTAGAGTGTGTATTATATAATTTCCATACCCAGCGCAAGCAGAAAGATGTTGTCTGCCGCGGCTGGGTCTTGAACCCGCCCTTCGAATTACTAGATCGACGCTCTACCAACTGAGCTACAAGGTCAGACGGATTTAAGACTGGAAATTATGAAATATATACTGAATGTCATAAACATACTCGTTTATATTAATTCAGCATCGAACAATACTAGTATGTTTATGACATTCAGTATATATTTCATAATTTCCAGTCTTAAATCCGTCTGACCGTGTAGTTCAGTTGGTAGAGCGTCGATCTAGTAATTCGAAGGTCGCGGGTTCAAGACCCAGCCGCGGCAGACAACATCTTTGTGCTTGCGCTGGGTACGGAAATTGTATAATACACACTCTACAACATTTTCGATTCATCTTAACATATTACAGAGTGTACAATTACATTACACAATTAACATATATATATATATATATATATATATATATATATATATATATATATATATATATATATATATATATATATATATATATATATATATATATATATATATATATATATATATATATATATATATGAGATTGTAGGCAGCCCCCTTCAATAGCCCTAAGTCTTAATTAAAAATTACACATGCGTGTTGTATTTCTTCGTCCCGCTTCTTGCGAATAGCATACAAGAAACACTGGATTCTGATTGGATAATTGTCGCTCGCGCATGTCCCGTTCAGCATTCTTTGGTTCATGCCATTCTCGATCCGCCTGACCAAAACCCTCGCGAAGTCAACGAACAGGGCAGGAAAAACATTTTCCTTCCTGGCAGCACAACCGGGAGCTAGACAATCATGTCCTGCAGATCAGCGGAGTATTTTTGTGCTAAATCTGCATGTGCACAAAGATATAGCTAGTGCTCTAGCTGACCATGGTTTTAAATTCAAGGAATGTCTGTCAACCATGTTGTTGCGCCCATAGTGGGACATGGGTGTTAAGGTTTCCTTCAAATTTTCAATAGCAAATCTTTATTCAAACGAATTTCCTGATGCTGTTTAACATTTCCTTGCTCGTCTATTTTTCCACCCCTGTCAACGAAGCTAGTTTACGTTAGCAAATTCCGCAATAAACACTCTTTTGATGCTCTTAAATGTGAAATAATCACACAACGCCTTTAGCACGCAAACTTACTTTCCTACGGTGAGCACATATTTAAATCGCGTGACTTTTGAGCGACGTTAACGTGACGTAATATTCCCGCGAGACTCGAATACCTGAATATTTACTTCCGTCTCAGTGAACTATGAAGTGGTGAGTGGCAACATAAACATGTCGGTGTTTAATGCACAACATTATATATCCGTGTTTCTCATTTTCAATGTTATTAAACATGGAGTAACTCAACGTAACTGCAGCTCTTCGTCCGTTGACTGCGGTAGTAAACGTTGTTGTAGAGTGAGTAACATGCCTTTGATCAAAGTCTGTAGCAATGACTGTCTTGGCAAAGCATGTGTGAATGTTCATCATTGTGGTGGTGATTACAGCATGTGCTGTAAGAATAACGTTTGTACAAACGATATAAATATGTGTGGTTGTACATCTGTTGATGATCCTATATGCAGGCGTGACGACAAATATTGCTGTCAAGCACGCATCAAGCATCGAATAAGAACGTGCAAAAAGTACTGTGAACATCATCCATGTAGTAAGGACTACGACTGTGCTGAAGGCGAATGTTGTAACAGTAAAAATGTGTGTTCGCCTGATTGTAGCTACCTACGAGAATGTAGGACTGACTCGGATTGCACGCATATTTTAAAATGTTGTGACTTCAAACCAAGCTACAAAACAGAGTCTATGAAAGCATGTATGTATACATGTAGCAAGCGTTGTGTGACAAATGACGACTGCACAGATCAATGCTGCGGAAGTGATAAACTATGTACGGATTGTAATAATTCAGCGTATTCTTGGACGACGTTTATTATCATCGCTTGTGCTATATTTACCATTATCTGTGCCGCTCTTGTGTTGACCTGCTGCTGCAGTAGACGAAGAGGACGGTGTGTGTTCTTTAAACCCAGGGTTGACGAAGAGACATTCGAGTTACGCAATGAATCAGAAACTGAAGAAATTATAGACAATGTTTCTCGTGTACAAAATAATCCCTCAGATCAAAATCTCCCCCCACCTCCGTATTCAATTGAGGATCAAGCTTTCCCAGCATCACAGAATCAAGAATTTCCACCAATATACAGGCCACAAGAAACTTGAGTTAATACACTCATATAAAAGGAACGTATGTAACAGACTTCAAAATCTTGGATGCGGATTAAATTTCTCGGTAGATTTTGTCGTGAACAGAAAATCTTTACTTTAAATCCCAATATAACAATAATTGTATCCTTTAATAATTTGCTGTAATATCGTACCATCTAGTAATCAGTTGAGATCGGTCATAATATTTTATAGGAATTTAACCTCTAAGGTCAGTGCATCAACTGGAGAAATAATATTCGTTTGTGTTATTATAATCATAATTAGTTTAATAAAGCCGCTTTGCAGACAAACTGAATTACACGGTATTATGTTTCTTAGAAATCCTATTCCTAAAATATTTGCAACGACCAAAGGTACTTAGCAGCTGCATAATTTTTAAAACGTTCAGTCTTTATTATTGGTATATGTATTTTATTATATAAAGTATAGTGCTTTATAGAAATTTCGAGCACTGATAAAAGTGATAATCTCACATGTGAGATTATTCATGATAATCTCACATGTGAAAATTATCGCTTTTCAATTATCGCTTTTCTGTAAAAATTATCGCTTTTCAAAGACTGTCCTTTATATAATAAACAGAAACGCTCACTCGTGAGATATCATGTTCAACACTCGAAATAAATCTGGTATTTCCGCGCACCCATGTATTATTCTCTATATAATCATGATCCAAGTCCGGACGGTTACCTATACATAGTATTCAAGGCAGTGGATTACAACCAGAGTGCCGAGATAATTTATAAATGTACAAAAGTACCAGAGTCCCGAGACAAATTATAAATGTACAAAACGAATTATTTTGAAACATGATGCAAATTTTGCCAGACTATAAAGGACATTCAAGGTACACAAAATTTGCTAGAAATGATCATAACAACTTGGATTGTAAAACTACACAGACATTTTAAATACTACTTAACATAAGTGAATTAGTAGGCTATGTGTATACAGATATACACAGACATATCGAATAGTAAGTTAATAATAATTATTCTTTGAATTATTGCAAGTGTATTTTCCATTCGGAAATTTAAAGCATAAATTACATTTGTCACTTAACTTTTAAAAGCCGGCAAATAAATACTGATCGGCAAACAATGACGTCTTGCACTGTTTCTATGGAAACTATACTAAATTAATATCAGCCAATCTTGCTGTTCATTGCATTTTATCACAAATTGAATACTTAGCCTTTATTGAGATATGTTGCATATATGTAAACAGATTATTGAGATATGTTGCATATATGTAAACAATACATATAATTTTACAGACAATTGTCAACACACATATAGACATTAAATGAGATCTGAAAGCGGATATAAAAGCATGCAGAACGCGGGGCTAGGCCCCATGCAGTGGAGTAACGCTCATTGGGTAGGGTTAGTTCAAAAACTAAGGGCCCCCGACAGTTTGGGGCTCCCATCAGCCACGGCCTATCGCCCAGAAAATTAGAAAACGTAAAAAAATGCAGGTTGAGAATCAATGGGAAAATGCAAAATTAATAATGCTAAATAATAAAGCCTCCATCGACAACGGTAGCTGATTTTTATGTTCCATCTCAAATAAAATAAAAGTTATTCTTATTAGTTGTTATACATGTGTTGGAGACTGTTATTGTTATAGACATGGAATGTTGCAGAACATTCAATCTCAATAATGTTCAATATAAATATAATATCTCAGTCAAACAATGACATCGGTCAACAGGGCCCCCCACACCAAATATGCCTAAGGGCCACGTCTTCCTCCGTTACGCTACTGGTCCCATGCAAGGTGCCCCCCCCCCTAAATATACTGAATATATTAAACATAATTACGGTTTGTGACGTGGGCAATCACGTACTAATAACCATGTACATATCATGTCCACATCAAAGGTTTTCACGAGAAAATTTCTGAAGGATACGAGCATTGTTGACAAAAGAAGCAAAGTTATGAATGTCCAGATCAGTTTGTCCGTAAAGTGCCTTCTGGAAGAAAACTAATACCTTAATTTCTCTCTTATAACACAAGAGGAGCAAGTCAATAATTATTGTTCTCTGGTTATAAGATTGTTCACTTTTTTGGATCTCAACATCCAAGTCGTGAACCTTCTCTGGATTTCTTCAACTTTGAGTTTGTTGCTGTGCGGAGATCAGATCTCGGTGGCATAGCTTAGCTCACATTGATGTCAGGTTTCAGTGGACAAGTTCTTTTGAGAAGCCCGAGCATTCTATTGGCCTTAGGGACGATAAACTTGAGTGTGGTGACCCCAGAATAGATTGTATAAAGACACCAAGATATTTATTTTTCTCTACACGAGAGAGTGAATTCGAGCTTAATTTGTAATCGGCCATTGTTGGATTTTTTATGTGAACACTACTATTTTTTGTTTTCTTTGCCTCTGTTGCGGGATGGCGTATCGAATTTCAGCCCTGTTGTTATGCTCTCCATGATCCAACGAAGCGACATATTTTGCCGAAAAATTCGTTGCGTCAGTTGCGGTTTGTTTGGGTGAGATAGATTTACATTTCTGATCGCAATTGTTATTTTTCTTACGTACAATGAAACTGTTCACTCCACTCCTCGCTTTAACTAATAGAAATGCTTCTTATGACGCAAATTATATATTTAAGCGGATTTCACCTTTAATTTCCAAAATATAGCAAACAGTAACAACTGAATTGCTTTGGAATTACATAGTACGGGAACAAAATATTAAGTCCATGCTATTCCAAGTAAAAATATTATGTAACTAGAAACACATGCATGCAAAAATCCTTCGCTTTGCCAGCAAAACCACTATGTTTCCCAAACATGAAGTGGTTGTCACGGAAAAAATTCAATGGAAAATAGCCGCCCTAAAATTATCACTTTTGATCTGAAAAATTTCCCAAATATATACGATATATAGGCACCCATGTTATATTGTTAGTAAAATAATCTTCAATTTAATGTAAAATTCAGCCATTGCATACGCTTCCCAAAACGTTTTAAAAAGTTGATAAAACTAAACTGCCTTGTAACGATTATAACTAACTTTGAGTTTCAAATAATACCGATTATGCAATTCACTCACGAAAATAACTTTGCTTTCCCCGTTATTTAAACATTTTTAATAACCTATAAAGTCCTAAATTAATCAAAAGGATAATTTATGAAAACAATGCACGGAAACGCAATGATCTTTTAAAAGCAAAGAAATACAGCAATTTTAAAAGCAAACTAATCTTTGGTTTTACGATTTCCAGCAATCTATTGCGCCTGATCTTCTGCATGAAGCAAATACAAACAAAATTTTGGCTGCTCGTCCCATTAAACGATTATTCGAATTCCTCGTTGATGTTTTTTTTTTAAATCTCACTCATTCAATGATCCACTCCTGAAAATCGCCATACTTTTGAGATCAGTGGGAGGTCCACCCATGAAACGTAGTGATACGAGTGTAAATAGCCTTTTCCTGCGTGTGACTAGAAGTGCGGAATTAGCAAACTCGCCCCGGGCTTACGGGGATTAGCACTAATCTGTCAAAAGAATATTAACATTTTATTTCGGACAGACCAATCAGGTGAAAGACGAGACAGAAATTTGTGTCAGTCCCTTATTTCCCTTCCATCCACCTGCAAGAGAAAACAGAGCCTGATAGTCAGGCTGATAGTCAGGCTGATAGTCAGGCTGATAGTCAGGCTGATAGTCAGGCTGATACTCAGGCTGATACTCAGGCTGATACTCAGGCTGATACTCAGGCTATGGCTTGGTGTACCTAAATGTCAATTTTCTCACATTCATAAGTATAGACAGTATAACTATACAATGTATCTTACCTTATACACCCCCAGGTTATTAATAAAGTGGATATAATAAGTAAAGAACACTCCCATCCCTTAGTCCATTCCAATACACCAGCCACTGAGAACAAAGCATAGAAGGGAAGCCAAAACATGATACGGTAACGAAATGTCTACACAAAACAATCAAAGTATACCACTTATACAACACTTTATATTATTTTAAAAAATACCCCTACTTTGGTCATCTATAGAGCTTGTACAAAAATTACCGAGGTACAGTAGGTTAAATATTCGTCACCAGGATCACTGTATAGTGCAGCTTGGGGAGGCCGGCCGGGGGGCTTATTGCTTGTAATTTGTTTGTTATACACGGATGTTTATATCAAAAGTCCGTTATATAGAGGCTGCATTGCGTCCTGTCGGCGTTTTCTTTGCCTCTTGCTGCTGCTGACGTGGAATCAGAAGTACTTTAGGTTTATTTTTGATTCATAAGTACACTTTACAAGTATATTTTTATTTTTTTATTTTTGAGTCATAAATACACATGATATTAGTTGGTTAGAACATGGAAGCATTTTCCTTGCATCTATTTAGAATGGTTCAAATTATGAACGTTTGAAGATGTTGGTAATTTCGCGCGATGGAAATTAGAAGCACGAAGTATGTACATTTGCAGACTCAAAGGGAAGCGGCTGCGAAAAGAGCAGTCCTTGGCCCTGTGGCACGAACCTGTGGCCCTCTGATTCCAGTACAGCGCTTTGACCACTTGCATTAAACGTCAGAGTCCAGTTGCCAAAGCATTAACCCCAAGTTTTTGTATAAACTAAATGTGATGGAATGCAAGGTACAGGGGCAAGTATTCCAACATTGGGGAAACTCGCTCGATATAGAATTGAATGTTGAAGGGTTTGGATAAACGGAAATTTCGAGTTAAAACGTGACTTGACCAGGAGCACCTACGAATCGACGTCTCATAAAACTGCCCAAATATATTTCCGCTAAACAACTGCGGACCTCATCGTGAAAATGTCAAGACTTCAAAGCAGACTTAAATACGTCCAAATTATAGTTATGAGTATTATTCAAATCGCAGATGTTTCCTCCTCCGCGAAACAACGTCTGATATTTTCGTTTGAAACATTGAGGATTGTGATCACATTCCAACACCTATACTGTATTACTGTAAAACTACTGTAGGGTTGGGCGACATTTCGATAT